TTCATGACATACATTCCATAAATTATATGCACTATGTTGTTAACGACGTGTAAGACCAAGAAATATCTCCACCACCGAATAGAAGTGTAGTGAAATTCATCATATATCAGGTAGAAAACATCTGATTGTTTCTCTATGTCCAAATGTTCAATGTATAAGATACAAAAGTAGTACATAAAATAATTTCGTGCACAGCTTAATATAACTTGGAACTTTTCAAAACATGTTTTCTAGAAAGAACTTTAAAGAATCATAGTCTTTGCAAATTTTGAAAATCCATCTTCTACTTCAAAAAATGGTTGACAGTGTTATGCAATCAATTTTACAGCTTTAAGATGTTAGCTTCACTAACTCAAAACTATAAAGAATCTTTTTAAAGTATGCTTATAAAATCTGTTGTTTTGAAGTTTGATTAGTGAGAACAAAATGTGTTTGGGGAATCTCATTTCCAACGCTTTTCTATTTTTTTTTTTTTCATGCTCTTTGCACCCATTATGATGTCTGGATCAAAGATGATTTAGCACAGAAGTTGTTACACACGATTTTAGAGAGTTTCATTTCCACTTCAAGAAATTTAAGTAAGCAAAATTGTCGATCTTTTTGAAATTCATCTTCACAAATGTGAACAATTTTCAGATAACACTTTTTCTAAAAAGACACACAGCCTAAATGTAACTAACTAACTAAAAAACATCAAATACAGTCATTAAAGATTATTTTCGTTAATAATATGAATGGTAGAATACCAAACAATTCTACAAGGGAGGCTGCCTATCCCAAAAATGATCTCTGGATTTCCATGGAATCTAATCTTTGCTGTTCTGACTCATGTTATTATTGATATTTTTATAATCATTTGCCAGTTCCAAGAGGAGACAATATTCTTTCTAATGGCATTTAACTAAAGCACCCTTAATCTTCATACCAACGCTCAGTCTATTTCCTGAGTTGTATAATTATGCGGAAGTTCTCAGTAATTGTTTTTGGACCTGAAAGGCATGGTGTAATGGATGGAGTGCCCCCAGGACTGAAGCACTGGCTGATCCCAGCTGCTGTGAGTGTTGATTGCTGACAGCTGGCAGTCCAGTCTTCCCTGGTAAGGACTGCCTTCAGAGCAAGGGAGCTGCCTCACCCAAAGTCACAGCCCCTTCCTGGGTCAGCTCACATCCAAGGACTGCTCTATTAAATCAGCATTGTTTATGCTGGAGGCCATGAGCCTGTTTATGCTGGAGGCCATGAGCCTGAGGTTTTCTCCATACTTTGAGTTCCTACCTCATAAACAGCAACCTAACTCAGTAAGTAAACAAACCGAAATGTAACTTAGTAGTATACTTTTTGTAACAAATAGCAAGGTTTCAGCCCATCACAAACAGCCTAGCTTCAACCAATCACAGGCAGCTAACTGATCATATTCATGCCCAAATAAGGCAAATGCCTAGCTGTAGCCAATCAGATGATTTCTCTACTTTGCTTCTGTGTCCAGCTTATACAAACTCACTGCTCTTTTGGTTCTGAGTGTTGCCCTACTCATGAATTGTTCTCTACTCAAATAAACTGTGTTTGATTTGTCTGAAGGTTTTATTTCAATAGGTCAGTGAGTGGTATAAAGGCCCAGTCCCCTTTCCCCAGTTCAGGACATCTCTTTGGAGCCATCTAGCTGCAAAGCTTCCTGTAGGATTGGCTGGGGCTTCTGTTATGACTGCATAGTAGTTCACCTTCTCCCATCGCCTAATCCTACTTCCTTCACTCCCCTACAAGGGTGAATCCTGAGAGCAGGAAATTAATAGGGGTGCTCTCAGGATTCACACTTGTGGGGGAGTTCTAACCTCTGTTTCAGAGTCAGTTTCCTGAATAATCATCTGTACCTTATAGGCTTTCACAATCACCATTATTTATTTCAGCCTCTTACTCCTGTAATCATATAATTACACACACATGTATACTTTGATAAAAATTTAACTTGGAACACACACAAGATTTTCACTCCAAGCTACATTAGAATGCTTAAATTTGAAAATGACTATTAAGATTTTTAACGTTAGGAACATGATTTGTTCATATTTCCAATGTTATTGCACTAGTTAGATAGGCTGGTAACCCAATCCATCACGTATTCATCATGACTACACAAGTTCAGGGATGCCAGAAATGAACTTCAAATTGGCACTCAATGGTTCAACCTCTGAAAGACTGAGATGAGATCAAAGTCAAATAGAAAAATTTGAACAAAGATTGAGGCTGAAGCTGAATATGAATGCAACCCAACTATGTGCATGTTTGTGTGTGTATGTATGTTTACTTAAGCATGAAGTCAAGAATGGCAAGACACACAGATAAACATGGATACTACATTGGTTTTCTAGGACTGTTGTAATAAAGTATTATAAACCAAGCATCTTAAAACAACAGAAATTATCCAGGCACGGTGTCTCATGCCTGTAATCCCAGCACTTTGAGAGACTGAGGGCAGGCAGACCACTTGAGGTCAGGCGTTTGAGACCAGCCTAGCCAACATGGTGAGATCCTGTCTCTTCTAAAAATACAAAAATTAGCCGGCTGTGGTGGCAGGTGACTGTAGTCCCAGCTACTTGGGAGGTTGAGGCAGAATTGCTTGACCCCAGGAGGTGGAGACAGCAGTGAGCCAAGATCATGCCACTGCACTCTAGCCTGGGTGACAGAGGGAGACTCCATCTCAAAACAAACAAACAAGCAAAAACAGAAATGTATTCTCTTACAGATGTGGAGGCTAGAAGCTGGAAATGAAGGTATCAGCAGGACCATGCTTCCTCTGTAGGCCCCTTGGTTTCTTGTTCTAGCTTCTGGTGGTTGCCAGCCATCCTTGGTGTTTTTTGGCTTGAAGACGCATAACTTGAATCTCTCCCTCCATCATTACATGGTCTTCTTCCCAAGTATTTTCTCTGCATCTTCAAGTACCTCTCTCCTTATCAGATTAGCAGTCATTGGATTTAGGGCCCACCCTAATCCAGTATGCCCTCATTTTAACTTGATTACATCTGTAAAGGCCCTCAAAGAAGGTCACATTCACAGGTACTGAGGATTTGAATTTTAACATATATATTTGGTGGAGGGGACACAATTTAACTCACAACAGATATAACATATATCTTTGGGAGGAGAAGCACCTGGTGAATGGGTAGGAAGGGAGAGGTCAATCAAGGTAAGCAAAGAAAAAAGAAATGAGGATGGGAAAGAATGCAGTAAAAATATCTTCATAAGGATAAACTGCTCTGTTAATATAAAATTCTGTGCATGTGTATGAAGAAATTAGAATAAAGAGCTAGCTCTGTATTAATTTGTAGGCATAACATTCAATAATTCTTTTATATGGCTTATTGTGTGTCAGGCACTGTTTTAAGCACTTTCTATACATTAACTCCTTTAATCCTTATGTCTCAATCCATGATATAGATACTATTATTATTACACCCATTTTACTGATGATAAAACTGAGACATAGAGAGACATAGATAGTAAAGTGGTTGAGCCAGCATTCAAACCTGGGCAGTGTGGCTTCAGAATCTGTGCTCTTAATCACCTTGGTATATGTAGTATGACTCTGTTCTTCAGAAACTAAAACAATATATGTGTGTACAAATGCATATGTATACATTTATATTTTAGAAGACATAAAATTAAAGTATAAAGATCAAAAATAAAATCTTGGATTCTAATCAGCCCTGTCAGGGCTCACAGATGAATGAATGATAAATATTCTGGTTGGCCTATTTTGTGTCATATACCCAGATGCCCAGACTAAGTTTTTTTAGGGGGAGAAGGACGGGCATTAGTGCTCGGACATTCTTGTCAGAGTCACATGGAGTGGGTTACTTAAAGGAAAGAGAGGATCTATTACCAGAGGTAGAAGGAGATGGCAGCTGATGGACTTGCAAAAACTATAACTAGTCCTGTCTCCTTGAACTTCAGTGTAACCTTCCCTACCTTTTGCTTAGATGTAAACCAGAGCAGCTGAAGGTCCTTCACTCATCAAACAAAAATGCAAAGAGAAAGGCTATAGGGAACCCCCCCAGCAAAACATCACACTCATTTTCCCATGCCCTTTGTTCAGAAAATAATTAATTGTGGAAATGACATCTATTGCCTCCCCCCTTCCCCCCACCCAGACCCAACAAAAATGAGGACCCTGTCTCTACTTCCTACAAGTCCACCAGGGGCAGGTTTACCATTTGGGGTTATTTAATGGTGTGATGGGAGAATATGCTGCATTTAGTTCAGGGGCATCCAATCTTTCAGCTTCCCTGGGCCACTTTGGAAGAAGAATTGTCTTGGGCTGCACACAAACTACATTAACACTAATGATAGCTGACGAGCTTAAAAAAATTCCAAAAATCCCCAAAAACCTCAATGTTTTAAGAATGTTTATGAATGTGTGTTGGGCCACATTCAAAGCCATCCTGGGCCACATGAGGCCCATGGGCTGCAGGTTGGACCAGTTTGATTTAGATCATCTCGTGATTTTAGGCTCTGCCAGTGTGGGGATTACCCCACCTGTAGGGATTATGTGGTGCTCTAGGATTATCTTGGATTTGGGGTTGATCCCCCCACATGGAAGGATTCTCTGGTGGTGCTATCGGATTATCTTGGTTTTAGGGTTGATCCCTCACATGGAAGGATTCTCTGCTACTTTGATGTTCCTCATGACCTGGTGCCGCCTGTTCTACAGTATCAACGTGTGAGTCCTTGACTCAGACCTAGTTCAAGGTAGGTTAAGGTGTCTTCCTGTCTACCAGTTCCTGTTTCAGGAACTTGGGATGACCTTGTGAAGGGTAGGAAGTTTCTATTTTCCTTTAGAGTGCTGTTCCAAGAGGTAATAATAGTGGAACTTGAGTTTCAGCAGTTGATGAGAATGGTGGCCCCTGTGTCTAAGAAGTATGAGAATTACAATATTGGGTAGCAGAGACTGACAAGGATGGTGATGTAGGTTGAGCATCCCTTATCCAAAATACTTGAGACAGAAAGTGTTTCAGGTTTGACTTTTTATTTTGTATTCTGGAATATTTTCATATACAAAAAATCAGAGATTTGGGGGATGAGACCCAAGTCCAAACACAAAATTCATTTGTTTTCATTTCATTTATATATGCCTTCTACACATAGCCTGAAGACAATTTTATACAATATTTTTGTGCATGAAATGAAGTTTTTTGTTTGTTTGAAGACAGGGTCTCACTCTGTCAACCAGGCTGGACAGTGGCACCATCACAGCTCACTGCAGCCTTGACTTCCTGGGCTCAAGCAATCCTCCCACCTCAGCCTCCCTAGTAGCTGGGAAAAGAGACATGCATCACCATGCTCCACTAAGTTTTAAATTTTTTATTGTAGAGATGGGAATCCCACTATGTTGCCCAGGCTGGTCTCAAATTCCTGGGCTCAAGTGATCCTCCTGCTTCAGCCTCCCAAAGGGCTGGATTACAGGCATGAGCCACTGTGCCCAGCCCCATGAAACAAGGTTTTGACTGCAATCTATCACATGAGATCAAGTGATGGATTGAAATGTTTCACTTCTGGCATCATGTCAGTGCTCAAAAAGTTTTTGATTTTGGAGCATTTCCGATTCGAGATTTTTGGATTAGGTATGCTCAACCTATACTTGTGTACCAATGTCTGATGGGAACGGTGGCCCCCTGTCTCAGGGACAGGGAGTGAAGGGAATAATGGATCCTGAGTTCTGGATATTTGTAGGAATTGCAGTAGCTGAGTCTTATGTGCTGAGAGATTTGGAGTCCTGTATTTCAGAGAATAAAGGAACCAGTGGTCCCTGTGACTTGCTAACTGATGAGAACAGAACAGAGGCCTTATGTTTCAGGAACTAATGGGAATTATGGTCACTGTTCCTGGGGACTTAAGCAAGTCCCAGCCTAATCCACAAGCCATTTATTATTCACTCATCTCTTCATTCATTCACTTAGCAAACATTTTCCTGAGCCCCTACTCTGAGCCATGCCTGGGTGGAGTGATATTGAGGACACAGAGATGACTCAGACCTAGACTGTGCCCTCAGTAAATTCCCAAAGACAGACCCAGATGTAGAAAATCACAACACAACAGGTTCAGGGCCAGGACAAGGACTGTGATGCGGTTACTGTCCTTATCGGTCTACAGGGCATCCAAGGTGAATGCAGAGTGACAGTAACTCCAGATCCCAAGTGAAAGTGAGGGGTCTGACAAAGGGTCCTTCTTAATCATACATGAATTTGTGTGCATGACGTTTAAATGTACCCAGTGTCAATCCTTAGAAACAGCATCTTTTCCCAGAGCCAGCCCACCCCAAAGAAGGAGCCAGAGAGGCCTGGGTTTGAATCTCTAGCTCTATCACATACTTTGTGAGCTTGGGCAACTCCCTATTCAGAACCACATCTTATTCAGTATTCCATCCTTACAACTGGGAGAATAATAGTTTCTAATAATAAGGTTTCTGTGTAATCAATGATATAATGTATAACAAATACTCATTCCAGGAACTGGCTCCCAGTAGTCATTCAATAAAGGGTATCTGTTGTCATTATTATTATCCCATTGTTAGTAATTATCAACAAAATTTAAAGGATCTAGAAGTAAGCATTTATCGAATATCTGGGTTTAGAGGCTTAAAAGCATTGGACAAAATCACCTTAAAAATCAGCAAATTTGGGCCAGGTGCGGTGGCTCAGCCAAGGCACAAGGATCACTTGAGGTCAGAAGTTCAAGACCAGTCCAGCCAACATGGCAAGACCCCATCTCTACAAAATATACAAAAATTAGCCGGGCCTGATGGCGCATGCCTGTAGTTCCAGCTACTTGGGAGGCTGACGTGGGAGAATGGTTTGAAGCTGGGAGGCAGAGGTTGCAGTGATCTGAGATAATGCCATTGCACTCCAGCCTGGACAATCTGTCTCAAAAATAAATAAACAAATAAGCAAATTTGAATATGCATAAACATTAGTTTCTTGACATAAAAAAACCTTCCAATCTCCCAATTAACTGAATACACTAGGAATAAATAGATGAATACAATGGAATATTATATCGCTATTAAAATGAACGAGGAGGTTCTATAAGCCTAGATATGGGAAGATCTTTGGATTTCATGTAAAAAAAAAAATGTGCAGAATACTGTGATCCTATCTGGGGACAGAAAACAGGAGGATGGTATATATGTGCATAGATGTATAAAATTCCTCTGGAAGGATACATGAGAAATTAGTGAATATATGCTATCTCCAGAGAGAACTGGGTGGCTGGAGGATAGGGAGAGGGGGAGGTGCACTGTTGAAAGCCCAGCACCATGCATCCTGAATGTTTTCCCTAAATGTCCCTGGCTCTTAATGTCCACTAAGTTCTCAGCTGCCCACAGCATCTCTCTACCCTCTTCTTCCTCCTGGTTCCCCATTGGAAGCAACTCCTGCCCCATCCGTTCCTGGGCCAGACTCAGGGAGTTGCTTTCCTACCTGCTTCCCGCCCACAGGTTCCTGTTCTCTGCCCCCATTGCCCAGCAGTCTCCAGCCATCTCCAGCTCCTCACATTCCTGCTCCACCCCTTCCTCTCTCCCCAGGTCTTAGCCGGCAAACTGCAGGGAGAGGGCCTCCTCCCCAGCCTCCACCAGTCTCTCCCCCTCCAGTCCACACAGCCTCAGCGGGGTCTGACATTCAGATATAACCCTGTCCCCGCCCCTTGCTCACAACCTTCCAGGACTCCCTGTCACCCTCAGAAGGCTAAGTTCCCAGCCTGGCCTGAAACTCCCTAAGAATCTGACCCCACCCGCTCGTCCCAGCCTCATCTCCTGTGCTCCTTGGCTCATGGCTTCGGAGGCTCTAGTCAGACTTAAGGGCTTTGTTGTCCTCCCAGCACCTCCTTGGTTTCGTGCCTTGGGCCTTTGCTTCAGCTGTGCCCTCTGCCTGGAAGGGCCTTAGTGGAGGTCATGCCACAACCACGCCTTCTCTGGAGGTCCTCTCTGCCGTCTCCAGCTGCCAGGATTCCTCCCGCTCTAGGCTCTCACAGCCTCTGGCCTCTCCCTGTGTCATACCCTGATCACCCGGAATTGGGACTGTCTGCGGCTGGCTCTGTCTCTTCCATCAGACTGTGAGCTCCATCTGCAAGGGCAGATTCAGGTCTGATTCACCTTTGAGTCCCCAGTGGGTGGGGGTGGGGGGGTGGAGAGACCAAAGCTGGTGGGGGGGAAGCTGGGAGAGCAGGAAGGGGGAGAGAGAGAAGGGCAGACCCTGACTGGTTGGGGGAGAGAGGGGAGGAGAAAGCGAGAGAGAGGAAGAACAGAGACACAGAGACAGGGAGGGAGGGAGAGAAACAGAGAAAAGGGAAGAATAAATGGGAGACACAGAAGCCCCACAGGCAGAGAAAGAGGATGGAGACCGGGAGAGGGCGAAAGGAAGGACAGATGTGCAGAGACATAAGGGAGGACAGACGGAAAGAGGCAGAGAGGTAGCAAAAGCAACCAAGAATGACAGGAGCAGAGAGGAGGAGGGAAAGAGGGCGAGAGAGAGAGAGAGAGAGAGAGAGAGAGAGGAGGGAGGGAGAGAGGGAGCGAGAGAGCGAGAGAGCACGCACAGAGCGAGGAGGAGGAGGCGCAGGAGAGAAGAGGGAGGGAGGCCAGCGAGGGACAGGACAGGGCGGAGAGGCGGAGGGGACCTAGGGAAGCCGGGGAGGAGCGAGACTGGCCGAGGGAGGAGGGCGGGCGAGGCGGGAGCGCCGGCCGCCGCCGCCTCCCGGCCTCTTTTGTCCCTTCCCTCCTCTGCGTCAGGCTCCCCTGGCCCGGCCTCCCCCTCCCGCTCCCTCCTCCGCCCCGCTCCTCCTCCCCGGGGCTGGATGGAATTTTTTCCCCTGGACCTGGGCCAGCTCCGGGGCAGGGGGGAAGCCAGGCCGGACTGGGCTGGGCGGTGGGGAGGGGCCGGGGCGGGGGGCCCCCTGGGGAGGGGGCTGGTCCCACGGCCGCGCCGCCGGCGGGGTCTGGGGAGGGGGAGCCCCGGGCCGCAGAGCCGGGGAGGAGGCGCCGGCCGGAGGGAGTCGGGGAGAAGGGAAGGAGGATGGTGGGGACGGCGGGAGGAAGGGGAGAGGCCGCCGGGCGGCGAAGGCGGGGAGAGGATGGAGAGCGCTCGGCGGCGTTGGGGCCCGGCCTACGGGCCCGGGGCGGCGGAGAAGACCCTTCCCTGCGACGCGGGAGCCGCGGGAGCCGTGAGTCTGCGGAAAGGGAGGTTGGGGGGCTGGGGCCTGGACTCCTGGGTCCCTGAGGGAGGAGCACCCGGAGGCCTGGATTTCTGGGTTCTTGGAGGAGGAGTTGGGGGTGGGGGGGTGGGGTGGCTGGGAGCTCAGACTCCAGAATCCTTGAAGGAGGGGGCTGGGACCTGAATTCCGGGGTCCAGAAGCTGGAGAAAGCTGAGGACACCTAGATTCAAGAGGGAGGACAGAGATGGGGGCTGGGGCTGGTAGGATCCTGGCTGGAGGAGACTAGGGGCGAGCTGCCCGAGCCCTCGGGGGAGGTGGAGGAAGACTGTCTGACTTTGGAGTGCCTGCGGCAGCGGAAGAGTTAACGTCTGGCCGGAGGGGAGGGGGAGGGGCAGGGATGGGGCTGCGGGGCTTTGAGGGGTCAAGGGTGAGCCGTGCCAGTGGGAGGGGGCCGAGGAGGAGGGGGAGGTTGTCTGGGCTGCCAGACAGGCCAGGGTCAGCGGCGGGGGCAGGGGATGTCTGGAGGAGGAGAGGCCCAGCATCCATGCTCCCTCGGGGACCCGGGATTCCAGTCCCAGCCCCCTCCTCCCTCAGACCTGGGAGTACACCACCCAGTCCCCCACCCATTCCCCCACCCATTCCAAAATCCGAGCCCCCAGCCCCCTTTTTTCCAGGATCCAGGAGTCTGAGCCTTAGTCTGTTCTCTCAGACCAGGGAATCCACACTCCAGCCCCTAACTCCTTCAAAACCCCAGAGTTCAGAACCTCAGCCCCTCTTCCCAAGGAGCGCGGCCCCCAACCCTCTGCTCCTCTAGAACCCAAGCGTCCAGGCGCCGGCATCTTTCTCCCTTTGAAGCCTGCAGTTCTGGGGATCCCCAGGCCCCTCCTCCCCCGGAACCCAGGAGTCCCCACCTCCTCTTTAGCCCCAGCTGGAGTCCAGCCCTCCAGGGGTTAAGGGGGCGGGGCCAACTGGTTACCATGGTGCCAGACTGTTTGGGTCTGCTCTCTGACCCTTGGGGGCTCCCCAGGGTCCGCAGAGAGGGGGAGGGGGACCTAAGCCTGGGGGAAGTCCAGAGCCTACCCCTTCCCCAAAGCCGGCCTGTGGGCCCAGGGAGTTCGCGTTTCCACCAATGCCTTGTCCAGTGACCTTGAACAAGTCCTAACCCTTCTCTCTCCGCCTCAGTTTCCCCAAGGAAACACTGGTTGACCGGTTGGGGAGATGCTTAGGTCCCGGGAATCTTTTGAGATTCTCGGCTTCCCCTCTCCCCTCACCCCCCTCCTCAGGCCCCAGGCAGCCCCGGGGCATGCTGGGAACCCAGGCCTGGGCTCCGGGCCAGGTTGGTGGGGGGGGCGGGGGCAGCCTCCTCCCTTCCCCTTCCTCCCCACCTTGGCCTGACTCTCGCCCCCGCCTGAGGGTCTGGGAGGTTGGGAAGGAGGGAAGGGGGAAGAGAGGTGGGACCATAGACCCGTCTCCGGCCCCCCCGCCTCCCCCTTTCCTTCTCCGCCCCTTTCCCGCCTCTCCTCCCCCTCCTCAGCAGGTCGCTACCCCAGCCCTGGGCCCCTTCTCAAACCACCCCCACCCCACCCCCAGCTCCAGACCTGGCTGGAGCTGCGAGGGGGAGGGAGAGAGAGAAGGAGAGAGAGAGAGAAGGGAGGGAGACCCAAAGAGAGAAGGGGGAGGGGAGGAAAGAGAGAGACCTAAGAGGGAGGGAAGGAGAGAGAGAGGGAGAGAGAGGGAGAGAGATAGAGACTGAGAGAGAGCAGGAAGGAGGGAGGTGAGGGATGGAGAGAGGGAAGGGGTGGAAGGAGAGGAAGTGAGGAAAGACATCTGAAAAAAGGGGGTGGAGAAGGGTGAGAGACGAGAGAGAGACAGAGACTGAGAGGGCCAGAGAGAATGAGAGAGACAAAGAGAGGGAAGGGAGAGAAGGGGAGGATGAAAGACAGAAGGTAGACGAAAAGAAGGGGAAAGGGGGAGAGAGGGAAGAAAACAGGAGCGGGGAGAGGAGAGAGGCGATGGGGAGAGAGAGAAGCCAGCGCAGAGCCAGGGAGGGATGTCCTGATGCAGGAGGAGGCTAGGAACCAGGGAAGGTGGAAAGAAAGAGGGAGAGAGAAAAAAGGCAGGGCCAGAGAGACCTGGACTGCGAGGAAGGAACGGGAAGGTGCGGCTGGAGCAGGAGCAGCTAGAACCGGACAGTCCAGGAGGAGGGACTGGGCACGGGAGAGACCCCAGCTGGAGGGGCTCTGAGCCCAGGGGTGGGGAGGGTGGATGCTGGGTCCACCGCCCACCTCTCGCAGGCCGACTTTGGGAGCCTCTTCCCCTCTCTGAGGCTCAGCCCCCTCACCTGCCAAATGGGGATGCTAAAGGCACCTGGCTGTCTGGACTGGGAGGTGTCAGCGGACTGGTGCTCTGGGCCTGGTATGGGGTTAGCGCTGGGAGATTGTGGCTGTCATTATAAATGACCCAAAGAAGAGAGGAGAGAGGAAAGAAAGTACCCAGGGAGGCTTTGACGGTTGGCTAGCCCCTGGCCTCCTGGCCCTGGGCACGGAGTCTCTGCAGACTGACAGGAGGGTGGGTAGGAAGCAGGTGTGCCCAAAGGGCCAAATTCCAAGACAGATGAGGTTCTCTCCCAGCCGGCACCCAGGAAGCCAGGTTTTCTATCAGGCCATGCCTTCCCCAGGAGGCCTGCCTGGCCCAAGGGAGGAGAGACTGGGGGCGGGGACTCCTGGATCTCTGGGGAGAAGGGGGCTTTGGATCTGGACTCATGAGTCTGAGGGAGGAAGGGGCTGAGTACTTGGATTCCAGAAACATTTGGGGAGAAAAGGGCCAGGGGCCTGGATTCCTGGATCTCTGGTGAGGACCCTGGTGAGGACTCTGGTCTCTGGTAAGGGCTTGGACTACTGGGTTCTTTAGGGAGGAGAGGGATGAGGGCCTTGACTCCAGGGTCCCTGATGAGGAAGGGGCTGAGGGCCTGGACTCCTGGGTTCCTTGGGGAGGAGGGGCCGGGGGCCCGGACTCCTGGGTCCTGGCACCCACCCGTAGAACCGACCTTGCGGGGCCTTCGCCGCACACAAGCTCGTGTCTGTGGGTCCGTGTCGGGGGCTCACCATCGCGGCTGGGGCCTCCCCGGCCCTCCCCCCAACTCCCTGGTCCTCCTGGTCCCTGTCTGTCTGTCTGTCGGGTCTGTCCGCCTGCCGCGCCCCCCGGGCTGAGGTAGGAGGTTGTATAGTTGAGGAGGACACCCAAGGAGATCACTATACGGCCTCCTAGCTTTCCCCAGGCTGCGCCCTGCACGGGACGGGGCCCGGCAGGGACCCCCAGCCCCACTCGGGGACCGTTAGCCCCACTGGGCTGCCCCAGGGACCCTGGGAGGAGGAGCCAGGCTCTTTTCTGTCCTTGTCGCTGCATCCCCTCCTTCCCCTGAAATCTGTTTTCCTTCCCTGTCTGTCTCCGTCTCCGCTGTGTCTCTGTGACTTCTGCGTCTCTTTCACAGTGGATCCTCCGACTCCCTTTTATTCTGGCTTTCTGGGTCTCTGCCCCTCCCGATATCTCTCCGTGTCTCTGTTTCTGTCTTTTTTGGTCTTTCTGTCTCTGGTTCTCGGAATGTCTCTGTACCCATCTCTATCTCTGACCCCCACCCCAGGGCCTACCCGGGCCACCGCGTACCATATTGCCAGTCTCTGGGTCCCTGAGACCCTTTAACCTGTGAGGACATCCAGGGTCACAGGTGAGGTTCTTGGGAGCCTGGCGTCTGGCCCAACCGCACACCTGGGGAATTGCTGGCCTGACCTCTGACCCCTGACTTCTCATACGCTTCCTCCAGAGCATGACATTTGACCCCCAACTGAAACCTGACTTCTGACCCTAGACCACTGGCCCTTCCCCCACCCTGTGGTGACTTCATAAAGGTTACTAGCTTCTCCCCTGGCCTTGAGACCCACACGATGGCCCTGCTGGCCCTGGCCAGTGCCATCCTGTCTGCCCTGCTGGTCCTGGCTGTCTTCAGGGTGCCCGCCTGGGCCTGTCTCCTCTGCTTCACAACCTACTCTGAGCGCCTCCGCATCTGTCAGATGTTTGTTGGCATGCGGGGCCCCAAGCTCGAAGAGTGTGAGGAGGCCTTCACGGCCGCCTTCCGGGCTCTCTCTGACACCGAAATCAGTGAGGACATCATCAGTGTCCTGGGGAAGGTGCAGAGGGAGGAACCAGAGAGGCCCAGAGGGTCAGGCTGAGGGACAGGCAGAGAGAAATAGTCAGGAGAAAGGCTCAAAGACCATGAGAATAACAGAGATTTAGGGACAGAGAGACACAGACAGTGGAAGACAGCAGGGCAGAGACTCAGAGGGGAGGATGGAGAGTCAGAGGGGAGGATGGAGACTCGGGAAAATGGAGAGTCAGAGAGGGGAAGATGGACACTCGGGAGGATGGAGAGTCACAGAGAGAGGGGAGGATGGATACTCAGAGAGGGGACTATGAAGAGATAGACAGGAGAGGATGGAGATTGGAGAGGGAACAGATACCCAGAGAGGGGAGGATGGAGACTCAGAGAAGGATGGAGACCCAGAAAGGGGAGGATAGAGATGAGGCAGAGACTAGGGAAGCAGGGTAGAGACTGGTCGGGGGCAGAGACTCAGGGAAGATGGAGACTCACAGAGAGGGGACGATAGAGACTTGGGAGGGACTCAGGAAGCATAGCGACTGTGGGGCAGAGAGTCAAGAGAGGGAAGGATACAGACTTGGGAGGGCAGAGACTCAGAGACGGAATGTTCCCATTAGGGACATGGTGGTGTGGGGAGCTGCCTCCCCCAGCCCCTGCCCCCTCCCTCACCACCAGACTATGATGAGAGAAGCCACCTGCATGACGCCTTCACCCAGATGACCCATGCCCTGCAGGAGCTGGCTGCTGCCCAGGGTGAGTGTGTGCGGATGGGGAGATGGGAGATGTGGACTTGGAGCCCCCAAGAAATGGGTATGTGTGAGGGCCCGAGGAGTCTCAGGGACGTTTAGGAGGCAGCTAGATACCCAGGTGCAGAGGAAGGAGGCCCCCAGAGTTGGGCAGTGATCTGGGAGGGGAAAGCTGGGAAGCCATTGAGCTCAGCTACTTGTCCAAGCAAAGGCTGAAGGTAGCTCTAAGAGCCAGGGGCTAAAGGTGGTGAGGGGGAAGGGACGCTGCGGAAACTGTGTAGAGCTGGAAGGCCAGATGGGGTCCGGTAGGCATAAGTTCTGCCATGGCTGCATGGCTCACAATCTTAACTGCCTATGAAGTTCTGGGTGGGTCACTGCCCCTCTCCTGGCCTCAACTTACCCATCTGTAGAGTGGGACAATCTTCTTGCCTCCTAGGATGGCCACGGAGCTCAACGGCCGGGGAGGGCAGGGGGAAATTGGGGTGCCTGATGAGCCTGACCTTGGGGAAGGCATCTTCCTCTAGGATAGAACACACACACACACTCGCACACACACACACACACTTACACTCACACACACACATTTCTTACAAAATGATTCCACATTTTTGAGATGTGAGGCAATTAGAGGGCAGGAAAACAGGAACAGCAGAGTGGATCGCTCAGGTGACAGCAGTGAAGAGAGACGAGGTGTGACTGTCCTGGTGAGACAGGCACACGCGACAGCCTTGAGGTGTGTGGCCGTGCGAAGAGACCTCAGGACTGGGGGCCACACGTGGCCGATGGGCAGTAATCATGCCAGGTCACCATGGCCATGATCCCCACAGCGTGCCAGACCCTGGAACTGTGGAGGCTCAGAGTTGCAGGAGTTACAGAGCCCTGCGCTGTAGAATAAACCGGCTTCCTCTTAGATCCAGGAGCTCAGGGCTTATTCCCATACCCACAGTTGCTCCTTTTGCTTCCTGCTTTGCCCTCCAAGCGCCTTGTCAAAGATCCCGTAAGAGGGAAGATTCCCATCCACCCAGGGGGCATCCAGGGCCAGCCTGGAGAAGGTCTCAGCAGTGGCTCCCCCACCTCCACCCTAAAGGGAGATCTGAGGCCCTCAAGCTCTCCATCTGGGGTGTGCAGGATTCCAGGAAATGCGCTTTCTCCCTACTTAGCCTGCCTAGTCACAGAAGCTTTTAAAAAGATCAGGAACCTTTGGATCTGGGAGTGGAAGCCGCCTGTGGGGCCGCATGTGGGACAAACTTGGAGGGGAGAGAGAAGAGGCTGGGTGAGGGTCCAGGCCAGAGCGGAGGCCTGAGTGGGGGCTGGGGCTGTGAAGGTGGAGAAGAAGGCCCAGGGCCAGAGTTAGGTCTGCTGGGCTGTTTGGGGAAGCCTAAAGAACAGCGTCTGAGACAGGCCCTGCTCCGTGCCTGTTGGGTGGTGGGTCATCACTGAAGTAAGGAGCCTGAGAGAAAGAGCCAGGGGCAGAGGATGAGCTGGGTTAGAATGTAGTGACTTCGAGGAGTCTCAGGGACGTTTAGGAGGCAGCTAGATACCCAGGTGCAGAGTTCAGCAGAAAAAGTCAGAGTTTTGAGTCTCTTTCTTCAGGGCACTGGGGAGCTGCAGCAGGAGTGTGAACAGCGGAGAAGTAGGGGCAGCTCTGGGTGTAGAAAGAACCCTCTGGGGTCGTGTGGAAGATGGCCCAGAGGGAGAGTCTGGAGGCCGGGAGAAGCTGGTGCAATACGTTCAATGATATTTACTGAATGTGCCGGGAACAACCCTGGGAACACAGCTGTGAACAGAACTGCAAACCACCCGTCCTCGGGTTGCTTATATTGGGGCGGAGTCTGGGGAGACAGACAACAAACATAATAAAATATCTTAGTATCTTAGTATGTCAGTTGGTGATCCCTGCTGTGGAGGAAAACAGAGAAGGGGAAGAGAAAGGGGGGATAGTTTTCTTTTTTAAAATTTAATTTAATTACTTATTTATTTATTTGAGACAGAGTCTCACTCTGTCGCCCAGGCTGGACTGCAGTGGTGCGGTCTCGGCTCACTGCAAGCTCCGCCTTCCGGGTTCACGCCATTCTCCTGCCTCAGCCTCCCAAGTAGCTATCCTCATAGACAGGTGGTCCTCAAGGCCCAGCATACATCAGAATCCCCTGGGAGCTTATTTAAAATGCAGATTTCTGGACCCCACCACCTCTGACCAGCAGGTCCAAGGTAGGGCCCAGGAATGGACATTTCTGTCAAGATCCCAGGCAATGCTCATGATGCGGCTCCGGGAACACTCTGAGAATTGCTGTTGTAGGCCCTTGGAATGACTTTTGTTTTTTGCTCTTGAAATGGGGGAGCTATTGGAGGACTTTACACAGAGAGACAGGATCTGACCTGGGATTTAACAAGATCTCTCTGGCAGCTATGTGGGTGCTGGACAAAGGCAGGAATTCCGACTTCCAGTGAGAAGCCTGCCCGTGGTGGCTTGGACCAGTCACAGTGGTCCGGGGGGCTCAGATGAGGTCTGAGCAGAGGGGGGTGGGCATAAGGATTTGACCGTGTGCCAGGCCTGCCCATGCATGTTAGAGGCTGTGTTTGCCATACACAGAGTCATTCATATTAAGTATCTTCCTAAAGGATATCCTCTACCGGCCCTGTGAGGCTGGGTTTTATAGTCCTGCTTATCAGATGGGAACGCTGGGGCTCTTCTGGACAAGAACAGTAGACCTGGGATATATTTGGAGATAGACTGGACCAGATGTAGGTGGGTGAGGGCAATGGGAAGAATCAAGGATGACTTTTGCATCTCCTCCAGAGGGAGGAGCAGGGAGATGGAGGAGCTGACGTAGGCTGACTGCCTCTCGGTGATCCCAGGTTATCTTATTTGTATATATGTATACATAAACCATGGAGTGGATGACCTGGTACAGACTGGATGCAGTATTAGGTGTGGAGATTATGCATGCAGCGATTAGGTATGGAGGCTCTGTAGCCTGACCACCAGGGTCAAACGTAGCCATGTGACTTTGCACCACTTCTGTAATCTCCCCACGCCTCCGTTTCCCCATCTCAAACTTGTAGATGGCAATCCTAAGTTTGCCAGCCTTCTCTAACACTCACTATGTGCCAGGAGCCATTCTACATGCTTAGCGATACCATCTCATACAGTCCTTAAACGATGCCCTGAAAGAGTGGGGATGAGGAAGCTTTCATGGTTGTATGGCATCTCATCCTCCCCGAACCCTGTGATACAGACAGTGCTGTCATCCCCATTTGATGAATGAGGAGACTGAGGATCAGGAAGGCGAAGTCACTTGGCCAAGGTCACATGGGGAGGAGGGCTTGTGATTGATACTCAGATCTGAGACAGGTGTGCTCAAGATGGAAGCGCCAGGACTCAGACCCCAGATGATCTGAACCAGGGTCAGAGCTCCTGACGATATGCAACTCCTCTGGGGGAGACTTTACAACACCCACCCATGCCTCTTTGTGGCCTGCTTGCTATAACCCAGGCCGTTTGGAACATTTCACTCCATTCATATTCTCCTGGTGGGTTATAAGCAGAACCCACCACCATGACTTACTTGGTATATCCCACATTCACCCTGCCCATGAGTCCTTTGATTTGGCCCATAGAAATTCTTTGGATGACTCCTGCAACATCCTGGCATCTCATTTGTGCACCCATCTGACCACATGCTCCTGATCATCCTGCCGTATTGAGACCACACTCCTGCTCTGTGGCCAAGGAGAGACCACTAGGTCCTCATCTGAAACTCACTTCTCGGCATCAGTGCTTCCCCCCTCCAAGTGTATATCCAATGATCGTCGTTTCAGCCACTCTCTTGCCAATATCCTCAGTTCCCTCCCTTTTTGTATGGCTTTAATCACAGAGGA